TGAGACAGGCCGTCCGGAGAAGAGGAAACTTGCTCTTTCCCCGCTGGAGGGCGGGGCCCCGATAACAACGGTACTTTTCAGTGCCACCAAAACATCAGTAAAAGAGCACTTTTTCCCTTCCCCGGATGTGACTGCACGAGTTCTGCCAGTCCGGGACGCGCTGCCTTCCGGCTCGCAGACTCTACGTGCTTCGCCAGTGGCTCACGAGCGCTGGGGGGACGGTCTCCCTTCCCTCAGCCCTCCAGCCCCCTCTCCGGAGTCAGGGTGCGGAGCCAGAGCGAATCGCTCTCCTCCAGCTTTTCCGCGGGACCCTCGTGCTTCCCGGATCAGCACACCCACTCCGCGCTGCCCCACCGCTGGTACGTCAGCGATTGTAGCGATGACTCCATTAGCGAGGGCTCTGCCTGCCTGGTTAGCGCGGGCCAGCCCCTCGCGGTGGCTCATACGCACAATCAGACTCGGTTACGCGATTCAGTTCGCGAAACGGCCCCCCAAGTTTACGGGCGTGTATTTCTCCAGGGTCAACCCCCTGTCCGCCCCTGTCTTGCGAGAGGAGATTGCTGCCCTCCTGGCGAAGGGTGCAATCGAGCCGGTTCCTCCAGCCGAGATGGAGAGTGGGTTTTACAGCCCATACTTCATCGTACCCAAAAAGAGCGGTGGGTCACGGCCAATCCTAGATCTGCGCGTTTTGAACCGCTGTCTGCACAAGCTGCCGTTCAGAATGCTCACGCAGAGGCGCATTCTCCAATGCGTTCGTCCTCGGGATTGGTTTGCAGCCATAGACCTGAAGGACGCGTATTTCCATGTCTCCATTCTTCCACGTCACCGCCAATTTCTGCGGTTTGCGTTCGAGGGTCGAGCGTGGCAGTACAAGGTCCTCCCCTTCGGGCTCTCTCTGTCTCCGCGGGTCTTCACCAAACTCGCGGAGGGTGCCCTAGCGCCCCTTCGGCTCGCGGGCATTCGCATACTCGGTTATCTCGACGACTGGCTGATTTTAGCCCACTCGCGGGAGCAATTGATTGTGCACAGGGACGAGGTGCTTCGGCATCTCCGCCTACTGGGGCTTCAGGTCAACCAAGAAAAGAGCAAACTCGCCCCCGTGCAGAGGATTTCTTTTCTCGGGATGGAGCTGGACTCGATCACCATGGTAGCGCACCTCTCCGAGGAACGCGCTCGCCTGTTGCTGAACTGTCTGAGGGAGCTCGACAGCAAACTAGTGGTCCCACTGAAGTTCTTTCAGAGGCTCCTGGGGCATATGGCATCCGCAGCCGCCGTCACGCCGCTCGGGTTGCTCCATATGAGACCACTTCAGCACTGGCTTCACGATCGGGTCCCCAGACGCGCATGGCACGCGGGCACACACCGGGTCTCGGTTACTGCGCTGTGTCGCCGCGCCCTCAGCCCTTGGAACGACCCCTCGTTCCTACAGGCCGGTGTGCCTCTAGGACAGGCGTCCAGCCATGTTGTTGTTTCAACAGACGCTTCCAACACGGGTTGGGGGGCCGTGTGTCGCGGGCATGCGGCTGCGGGCCTCTGGAAGGGTGCCCAGCTGCATTGGCATATCAATCGCCTAGAGCTGTTGGCAGTGTTCCTCGCTCTCCACCGCTTTTTACCGGTGCTGGAGCGGCAACACGTGCTGGTCAGGACGGACAGTACGGCGGCGGCGGCGTATATCAACCGCATGGGGGGTATGCGCTCTCGCCGCATGTCTCAGCTCGCCCGCCGTCTGCTCCTCTGGAGTCACCCGCGGCTGAAATCGCTGCGCGCCATTCACGTCCCAGGCACGCTCAATCGTGCAGCCGATGCGCTCTCACGACAGCTGTTACGCCCTGGAGAATGGAGACTCCACCCCGAGTCTGTTCAGCTGATATGGGCGCGATTCGGGGAGGCCCAGATCGATCTGTTTGCTTCCCCCGAGAACGCTCACTGCCAGTTGTTTTTTTCCCTGACCGAGGGCTCTCTCGGCACGGATGCACTGGCCCACAGCTGGCCTCGGGGCATGCGCAAGTATGCGTTTTCCCAAGTGAGCCTGCTCGCGCAGTTTCTGTGCAAGGTCAGGGAGGACGAGGAACAGGTTCTGCTAGTTGCGCCCCTTTGGCCCAACCGGACCTGGATATCAGAGCTCTCACTCCTCGCGACGGCCCTCCCCTGGCGGATCCCTTTGAGAGAGGACCTACTCTCTCAGGGACAGGGCACCATCTGGCACCCTCGCCCCGATCTTTGGAACCTCCACGTGTGGTCCCTAGACGCGAGGAAGACTTAGGTAACCTACCGACTGCGGTGGTTAATACCATCACTCAGGCTAGAGCCCCCTCCACGAGGCGCGCCTACGCCCTGAAGTGGAGTCTATTCACTGAATGGTGCGTCTCTCGCAGAGAAGACCCCCGAAATTGCCAGATTAGTGTTGTGCTCTCTTTCCTTCAAGAGAAGTTGGACAGCAGGCTGTCGCCCTCCACTCTCAAGGTTTACGTGGCCGCCATCTCCGCTTATCATAGCACGGTAGCTGGCGGCACCGTGGGAAAGCATAACCTGGTCATCCAGTTCCTTAGGGGTGCTAGGCGAATTAATCCATCTCGCCCCCCTCTCATGCCCTCTTGGGATCTCGCCCTCGTTCTCACGAGTCTGCGATCCGATCCCTTTGAGCCACTCGAATCAGTATCTCTAAGATTTCTGTCCCTGAAGACAGCTCTGCTGGTTGCGTTGGCCTCCATCAAGAGGGTCGGGGACCTGGAGGCATTTTCGGTCAGTGACTCGTGCCTGGAATTCGGGCCGGATTACTCTCACGTTATCCTGAGACCCCGCCCCGGTTATGTGCCCAAGGTTCCTACCACCCCCTTTAGAGATCAGGTAGTGAACCTGCAAGCGCTGCCCCCGGAGGAGGCAGACCCAGCCCTTTCTTTACTTTGTCCAGTTCGCGCTCTGCGCATTTATGTGGACCGTACTCAGAATTTTAGATCATCTGAGCAGCTCTTTGTCTGTTATGGCGGTCGGCAGCAGGGAAGTGCCGTATCGAAACAAAGATTATCCCACTGGATTGTGGATGCCATTTCAATCGCTTATTTGAGTCGAGGTCAGCCGTGTCCCCCGGGAGTATGTGCACACTCCACTCGGAGCGTTGCATCCTCTTGGGCGCGTGCACGCGGCGCCTCTCTAACAGACATCTGTAGAGCTGCGGGCTGGGCGACACCCAACACATTTGCAAGGTTTTACAATCTGCGTGTTGAGCCGGTTTCCTCAAGGGTATTAGGTAACCCTTTGGTGATTGAGGAGACAACTCGGTAGGGTGTTGAAACACGCTTGCTGCGCCATTCTCCCTAACACGGAGGTACGTGCGCCTTTTTTTTTATCTGTCAGTAAAGTTCCCCGTCAGGTGAGCCCTGCAGATTCCTCCGTGGCCCCCAGCACTGACTCAGCGGAGGAGTCACTTGCTGGCCCACTACGTTGTAGGTCTGCCCGCTGGTCAGCCCGCGTTTTGGGTATAGGTGCCTGCTATGCGTGATCCCCACTAGGCGATCCCATATGCTTATTCCGCCACGGTTAAGTCCCCCCCCTGGGCGGACCCGTGTCTTCCCTCTCCGCTAACCACTCTTTGCTATGCGTACTCCCCCTTTTTAGGGCTAGTCCATAGGTAAATTCTGCCATCTATCCCCCCCTTGGGTAACGGATGGCCTCCGCAGCGTCCTCCCTATCGGGATTGCACGCTTCCCAACGTACTGTCGTATTTCCTAGAATTATCTAGATGCTCACGACTTCCCAAAAAATATATCTAAATCCGTAAAACTTCTGTTGAAGTAGGATAAATTAGGGCCAGGGACACGTTGGAGGACCGCGCCCCCCATGATGTGGGTGCGTCACGCTTGCTTGACTATCTCCTCATCGGGGGTGTTGGTAAGGTGCAGTCATTGTGGCGCTTTCCATATTCTCCCATTCATGGCACTGAAGTTCCCCAACCGAAGGGGAACGTTCGAGGTTACAGAAGTAACCCTTCGTTCCCCGAGGAGGGGAACGGAAGTGCCATATTCCGTCGCCATAATGACTGTCCCTTAGCTGTTTGAAAGTCTCTTCAGCTTAAAAGGATGGCGTCTGCTGGCTTCAGGTGTGCTTATATGCTGAGATGATTGCAGATGTCGCACACCTGCGCAAGCTTACGCTGCCAATTAATTTCATTCATTGGCCCGTTCAATACTCTCCAGATAAGCGGCTTCTGATCCGAATCCTCCCATTCATGGCACTTCCGTTCCCCTCCTCGGGGAACGAAGGGTTACTTCTGTAACCTCGAACGTTCCCTCCAAGGCATGTTGATTAATTTTTTAAATGTTTTGTTTTAATTATTTGAAACTTTTTTAATTAGCTAAGTGAAAACACACACACACACACACACACACACACAACGAAAATATTCCTAGTAATGTGTCTAAAATGTAAGCTACTGAATATTGCTTTTTTTAATTGTTTGATTGAAAGCACTGTCAGCTTAAGCATAGCCCTGCTTTTGCTTTGTATATGTATCTTTCAAGATATAATATCTGCAAACATGCACTCTGCCTTGTTCTTTATTTTCCATAATTTATAAAACACACTCACACACACACACACACACACACACACACACACACACACACACACACACACACACACACACACACACACACACACACACACACACACACACACACACACACACACACACAGCTGAAGCTTTGGCCAGGGATCTGATTTACAGGGTAATGCAAGTATTGCTCAGCACAGCATCCTTCTTGTTGGTGTCGGATATGGCTTGATTCCAGGTTTAATGGCTGATATTAAAGTTAAGGAGTATAATTAAACTAAAAAAGTGCAGCGCTATTGCCCTTTATAATGGATAGGACCCGTATTTTGAAAGTAAACATATTTGTTTTCATGCTTCCTTTAGAGAAATATTTCTACACACGACATTTTGTAATGGCTCAAACTAGGTGATCATTCTGAAGAAAATTTCCCTTTTATCTAATCTTCAGCAGACCAGGAAGATGAGAATGCTGAAGCCTCTGAACTGGATTTGGGAACCAAAATCAAGACTCCTAAAGATGTGATGCTGGAGGAGCTGTCTCTCATGAAGAACAAAGGCTCCAAAATGTTCAAGATGAGACAGCAAAGAGTGGAGAAATTCATCGTCAGTGACGAGAACCTGGTCAGCAAATGAGGCATGAGAAAAGCAGTAGCTTTCATAGGACATTGAGGTTTATTGTGGATTCCTTCATATGGGAGTTACAATATAACACTTGATAAAAACCTTTAAAGATGGCTTTTATAATTGTGATGGAACTTGGGATAATGAATGTGCATGGTTGCTTATCATACTGTAAAGTGAAAAATCCTGCATGGTGTATCATATAAAGATAATAAGTACAAACAGGAACCTGGTGGGTTCTTGCCAACACAGGATCATTGGGAAAATGTGCCCTGGTGTACATTTTTGAGAACTAAGAAATGTGCTCACTGGTACATATTGCTGCATTATATGTGTAGAACAAATGCTACAGGGTGGTACCTCTGACTCCTTACCTCCATATGTACAGATTTTTGACTGGTTTCCTTGGTAGCTCACCACGAATAGCACCAGACTTGGCATCAGACTGGGGTTAAAGGCTAGCAAAGAAACAAAACCCAAAAAAAGACAGTGATGCTGTGGTAGAAGCATGCAGCTGTGATGGCTTTTTTTTTTTCTAGTTTGCTTTAGAAAACACTATTGGTTGGGTTTAGGAAAGGAGTGAATGGGTCATTTGATATCAGGCTTATATGTTATGCATGATGACATGATATTTGTAGACATGTATTCAGCGACCTCTGGTGGATTTCCACTAGTTTGAGAAAACCAGTAACCCCCAGTAACGTATTTGAAATTGTCAAAACTGCACACGCCACCCCCTTCAAGTGGATTTTTGAAAACAAAAACTGCGAGATAATGTAGTTCACGGTATTTTCAGTCATATTTGTCGGTTCTCAAAAATGTAGTCGTGAGAAACACATTTCCAATGAGCCTGTGTTGGATCTTCCAGCTGTGTATAAATGGTAAATGCAAGAGTTGTTTTCTGACTTGGTCATTTTTGTTGTGTTTTGTGGTTTTGTGTTTCCACTAGTTTTTTTATTTTGATAATTGTGATTTGTTTTGCACATCTAATATAACGCTTCATCAATCACATTTTCAAGTTAAGTCAAATTTGTATTTTTAGTTTATTTTATTTTCAACCTATCTTTTGGCTCAAAGTTTTGGCCTCTCATATCTTTTTAACAGTTACAATTTGCATCCATATTCTTACTAATCCTCTCACTACAAAATCTTAAAGGGATAGATTACCCACAGATGAAAATCTGCTCACTACTTACTTTCCAGCTTTCGTCAAAATAACTTATTTTGTGTTTAACAGAAAAAAAAATCAACATAGGCTAATTCTGAAAATTTAGCCCTATATATGTTTTTGGAGGTTGAGAGTTATGGAGCCAGAAGTATGTATAGCAGCGAGGATGAACGCTACGAGGTGGTGTGACGTTCTTTTTCGTGCTTACCAGCTGACCAAATGAAGCTCTTGTACTTCGCTTCCGCTTACTTCTTTATGGACAGCTTTCCCACTTTCACATGTCCAGTAGTTCACCATGCACGTCGGCAGACTTGAGACGCAGGGAGAAGAACAGTCAATCGGTGCTTTTGAAAACACTATTGGTTGGTTTAGGAAAGGAAGAAAGTGGATTGGTCGATTGGTCAGTCAGTCAGTCAGTCAACAGCAGCCTCTGGTGGATTCATGCAAGAAGAGCAGGCGCAAATGGCACTTGCAATAGAAATTTGAGATCTCAAAACGTGTACACATCAGCCTCTGGTGGACTCATGAAAATAAAAACTCCAAAAAAAAAAAACATACCTCCTTGGACATATTTGGCACTTGGCAGAAATGTATATAGGGGTACATTTTCAGAATGATCCTGGGTTGAAAAAAATGAAGGGTTAGTAAATGATGACAGAATGATCTTTTTTATGTCTTCAAAGTTGAACCTCAAGAACCTGGTTCCCTCTCTGGGATGTGAAATGACTGCTCCACATGAACAATCTCCCAACCCAGAGCCACCACGTGGTACTGTAAAGCTCAGTTTGTAACATCTCTCATTTATTATTATTAACATTAGTAGGATTACATTTCTTAACCAAAATTTAGTTTCTCTGTTCTTTTTGTGGCAGAGGAAGTAGATGTTGCTGCAGAGAAGGAAAAGAGACGACGTGAGTATGTTAAAACATATGTATCGCCTTGGGAACGAGCTATGAAAGATGACCAGGAACTTAAAGAAACCATGCAACTGAAGATGCCAGGGCCTCAAATTTACAAGGATCTTCCCAAGTACAAGAGCTTCAATAGGTACAGTATATAAAAATTGTTCTAGTTTTACCAATAATTTTATGCAGACCTATGACTACGCGATATGACAAAAATATCACATTATTACACACTGTAAGTTTTCATATACACTACCTGACAAAAGTCTTGTCATCAATCCCAGTTGTAAGAGCAACAAATAATAACTTTACTTCTAGTTGATCATTTGGAAAAGTTACAGAAGGCAAATTATTTCAGATGAATTATCTGTTGAACTGCATCCCAATCATCACAAATACTGCAGCAGACCTATTGGAACCCGCATGGATACAAGATTCTCTTAGAAATCTGGCAAGTTTGGTAAAGGAAAATCATGGTTTGGGGATACATTCAATATGGGGTTGTGCGAGCGATCTGCAGAGTGGATGGCAACAGCCTGAGATATCAAGACATTTATGCTGCTCATTACATTACAAACCACAGAAGAGGGCAGATTCTTCAGCAGGATAGCAAAAGTGGCAATGGTAGATTAATCATCTGTTAAATTGCATCTCAATCATATCAAATAGTGCAGAAGACCTATTGGAACCCGCATGGACCCAAGATTCTCACAGAAATCAGTCAAGTTTGGTGAAGGAGAGTCATGATTTGATGTTACATTCAGTATGGGGTGTGTGAGAGATCTGCAGAGTGTATGGCAACATCCACAGCCTGAGGTATCAAGTCATTTGTGCTGCCCATTAAATTACAAACCACAGGAGAGGGCAAATTCTTCAGCAGGATAGCGCTTCTTCTGATACTTCAGCCTCCACATCAAAGTTCCTGAAAGCAAAGAAGGTCAAGGTGCTCCAGGATTGGCCAGCCCAGTCACCAGACATGAACATTATTAAGTATGTCTGGGGTAAGATGAAGGAGGAGGCATTAAAGATGAATCCAAAGAATCTTGATGAACTCTGGGAGTCCTGCAAGAATGCTTTCTTTGCCATTCAAGTTATTTGAGTCATTGCAGAGATGTCTGGATGTAGTCGTCCAAGCTCATGGGAGTCATACACAATATTAATTATTTTTCCACTGCACCATTCTTTTATATTCTATACTGTGCATTATTTCTGTAAAGTGACAAGACTTTGTCTTAGCAAAGTCAGACCTTACTGTCCTAATTAAATAATTAAAATCAAGGCATGATCATATTTAATTTTTGTAAAATAAGCATAATCTAGATCAATCTAGACAAACAGATCATATTTCATGTTTCTCACTTTACAGTATTAAGAACTTTAAGGCAAATGTTTGATTAAAATGTAGAAATAGGAAATAAACTTTACATTTTTTTCCCCGCAACTAATGATTACAGGTCCAACATAAAATAAAATACATCGCTAAATAAGATGCAAAATGTAAACATTGTACTTTTGATTGCTACTCATTGCTCTTATAAATTATTAAATAATCTTACTGTAAACAGTGTATTTAGTTACACTGTAAAATAGACGCTAGACCATGTTATATAGCAGTAGACTTTTTATTTTGTTAATATGTTATGTATTGTCATAATTAACAGCCCTGTGTAGAGGCCATATCTTTTGATCGCTGTTCTTCGCCTTTTTTTTCTCCAAAAGAATGGCTCTTCCTTTTGGAGGATTTGAGAAGGCCTCTCGTCTTGTGACTTTTGAGCCTCCTGAGATCAAGAAAACCAACGAGGAGCCGCAGCCAGTGTCTCTATCACAGTATAATATTTGCTGTAGGCCTTCTTTCAACCGTACTCCAATCGGCTGGACGTGCAATGAAGAGCACGGCCACATCCACATGGAGATGGAAAACATCCCCTTTGATGGAGAGACTGACGACCTCTAAGAAACTAGCCCACCTGATGTGAAAAACAGACATTTAAATACAAAACAACATGCATGCTAAGCCATAAATGCCAAGTACACATGTATACACACATATACAGGCCAGCAAACAGGGACCTTATGCTCTCACACCCAAAAACTGATTCATATTTCTGCATGAAAATGGAAAGATCTTTGCCTTTCTTCCACTGTTCTGTGTGGGTTTTACAATGGAAACACATCACTGCATGCTGTGATCTGGTTCTTATTTTGCCAGATGCTTAATTAACTACAGTAATCTTTATGGTAATTATATACATGCACTAAATAACAGCCTACAGTGATCTAGCGCTGAAATAAACATTTGTCAATCAACTAAATATGGTCTGGTTTCTTATAAAATGATTGCGTCTGTCTGTGTACTGCATTAATAAGGTTTTTGATATCAGTTCAGTTGTTTAGCATTATTGAAACAAAGTCATTTGTAAAATGGTTTTTGACAATGGCGTATCTTATCATTAGTCTCTGCATTTATTAACCTTTGTTAACATTAACAAATGTAATTAATTAAAATGCTTATGTGATGAATAAATAAATGAGATTAATGTAAACATTAATATTAATAAATAATTTGGAACTATTACTCATTAATAGTTTATAAAAAAGGGTAACAATTAAAAACAATTATATAATATTATATAAACCAAATAAATCAGTAGTTAGGAAAGTAACAAAATCTTACAATGGCATGCAACCTATTGGTCTTTCTTCTTTTGCATGGTATTCAACATTTATAATCAAATAAAACCACTAAAATTTAAATAATACCATTTCATTTTATTTAATTCCATAATTTTATTTGAATTACATAACCATCTGTATAAAAAAATATGAAAATGTGCGGTTAATTCACTCACCCTCAGGCCATTTATGGTGATTTTCTTCAGTAGTTTTTATTCTGTAAATTTTTTTGTTAATCAAAATGATACTTGAGTTTATCCTGGATGTTGCAACTTGTATAATTGTATTTATTCATTATGTGCCAGGAAGCTTACAAGAAGCTCTGAATTGAACTGCCATAACTGTGAATTAAAGGTAATAATGTTTTAAATTATTTTAAATTCTTTCACATGCAATATATCTTTGGGAGTCTTGGATATTAATTTAGTTTTGTCTGTATGTTGTTTTACACACAAAGTAGCCTACTCTGCAATGGCCAAGACAGCATATTGTACTGCAATTTAAGAAGACACATGAATTACAAAAAATGCCAGCAAATTAAGAAAATATATTCATTTATTTGACAGCAAATGTGCTGTAAATCCTCACAATGCATACAAATTAAAAAAATGTGCTGCATATTCTCACAACACAAACAATTAAATAAAATGCACTAAATTTTCTCACAACACTTGCAAAAACATTGGAACACAACAGAAATGTTTCAAGTGGACCCAAAAACATGTTGGACGCTGCAGTGCCGTTACTATTGCTCAGTAAAGTTATAGGTGATCTTTAAAAGGTGAGTTTTTTGTTTGTTTATTTCAACATCCTGATTACCTTGACATATTTTATTAGCCTAAATAACCAATCTAAATAGCCGGGTCTGTCACATTGTACGGTGCCCTTGAAACATTCATGCTGTGTTTGCGTTGTGAGGATTTGCAGCACATGTGCTGTCAAACGGATGAAGATCTTTTCTTAATTTGCTGGAGTTTTATGTAATTGCATTTTTTTTCTTAGATTGCAGCACATACTACCAGTTTATAAATCACCAAGGACCACAATTATAGCTAACAATCTTATTTTGTGCTCTATTGAATGAAAATGTAATCTATATTTTGGATGTCTTGAAGGTTAGGAATTTAACAGCTTTTTTTCCCGGTCTTTTTAAAATAGTGTCTCATATAGCTAAATGTGAAACTGTTATCAGTTTTTTTTTATCTTTTGAATGACGACATTCATTGCGTTTAATATAATGAACAAGAATGTATGCTTAATTTGTCCTTACAAACAACATTTCTGAAGGTCAAGCAACTCCGACTGATACTTTGTTGAAAATGTCCAAAATGTGCTTACGATTTTTAAGTCGTACTTACTTAGTTCGTGGAAAGTGCAAGATATACACAATCAGCTGCTGTTTGCTTTTTGTGTGATTATTACAGAATGTTAAGCTTGGTTAAGATGATTTATTCAGATTTCACGCCTCTCTCCAGTCAACACAAAACCAAAACCGGTTACGTAATGGCTTTCTGGCGTACAGTACCAACTGCCTACAGCAGATGGTAGCAAATCGGTCTTCAAGCAGAAGGAGCAATCTTTATCGCGAGATCTTCAGACACAGACAACGACGTTATCGCGAGAGTTTCATGCTCTGGCTGCGGCGCTGGATGGCGCTGGTGGAAATTTGGGAATGTGTGGTCAAGATTTGTGTCGGGTTGAGCTGAGCTCGGACAGGACGCGAGACTGACTGCATCTGAGTGCGAGCATTGAGGTGAGTAAGCACTCTTTAAACTTAATTAACGATGCTCGACATTGGGTATATAGTTGAAATCCGAAAATGCAAACATCCGTCCTGTGCAAGTGTAACTTGATGAATTCCAGCAAGCGGGTTTTCCAGATGTGTAATGTGTGATGGGAACATTGTTTAACATCCGCGCGAGCGGATGCGTCTGCCTGTCTTCAGTCAAGGATGCTCTGAGCTGGGACCATCCGAAACATTGTGTGCCTTTTTTTACAGGTTTATTTATAGCTAACCTTGCGTTTGGCGTGGTCACACTCAGCATCTTCAATATGCAGAATCATTATTTCATTCCGGCGCTGCTCATGTAATACTTTATTACGACAGTTCTTTCCTTTCAAGTGATGCTGAAGTTATGGTTTTAGGTTTTGGATGTCATTTTAAGGTTTTATTTGGTCTTTAGATTGATTATGGCTTTATACATCATGTGTTGATAGATCTCGAATTATTTTCGCTTGCAAAAATTTTCATCGAGTGAAGTGGACAGCGAATAACTTAGTCGATATTGATTTAACTTTGTGGCTGCATTTAAGTGATTAAAGTCGCAGTTATGCTCAAAATTGAGATTCTCTCATGTGTGACCCACCCTCATGTTGCTTCAAACTCCTGACTTTCTTCTGTTGAATGAACACAAAGGAAGACTTGAGGCATAATCATTGCCCACAGAAAAAGATTCATGGAGAGTGATTTGTGACTTTTTAAAATACCAAATCTCTTTTTATTTCTGCAGAAAAAAATCATATGGGGTTGGAATAACATGAGAAAAATAATGATGTCATTTTAATTCTTGGGTGAACCATCTCTTGAAATTCCCCTGATCACTACATAATGCAGTGAGTCCATTAGACAGCATTTCTGAGCATCATGACATGTGTGCACGTGCAGTATTAGAGAACAGGGTTTTCCAATAGGTTCTGGAGACCCCTAGGCGGCCACAGGTGAGTGATAAGAGGTCCTTTGGAATGTTTAAACAAAAACATAAAATAATAAGACAAATAGGCTACTTTAAGTAATAATAAATAAATAAATAAATGAATAAATACGTTTTGGTTGTGACATGGTGGCTCAGTGGTTAGCACTCTCACCTCACAGCAAGAAGGTTGCTGGTTCAAGTCCTGGCTGGGTCAGTTGGCATTACTGTGTGAAGTTTTCATGTTCTCCCCGTATTTATGTAAGTTTCCTCCGGGTGCTTCGGTTTCCCCCCACAGTTCAATGACTTGCGATATAGGGGAATTGGGTAAACTAAATTGGCCATAGTGTATGTGTGTGAATGAGTGTGTATGGATGTTTCCAAGTACCGGGTTGCAGCTGGAAGGGCATCCGCTGTGTAAAACATGCTGGATAAGTTGGCGGTTCATTCCGCTGTGTTAGATTAAAACAATGAAACATTTATTACGATAAACATTTTAGTATACTTAACAAAAAAACTTAAATACTTGAAATGATCTTAAATCTTTTAACAATTTTAAAAATAATTAAAATTAATAATTAAATAAGAGTCAGATAAATGACATAAACATTTCATTAAAACAAACAAATACATACACATTAAATTATTATTTTTTTCATTTTTAATAATGTAAGTTATAAGAAGCTGTATTTATTTTCTAATTAATATTTATTTTAGATACATTTTAATAATATGAATTGTTCATTTAACAAACTGTGTAGATATCTTTTACGTTTTAGGACAGGTGTGCAGTGCGTCATGAGTATGCTCATATTTGGGAGTCTATGGCATCTAAAAGATGGAAAATCTCTGTTCAGTAGGACCAGTTAAGAAAAGAAAAACACATCTATGATGTCCATAAATCCTGCATGTGCCTACAGTATGAGGGGTCAGACACCAGGATCGCCTGCACTTTCCAAATCATGCACAAGGACAAACACACTATGTTATTCATTCAGTTGCAACATTAGGTTATTGTGTGCGTGTGTGTGTGTTTCTTTGAATGCTGCTAACTTCATAAATCTTGTGAGATTTAAAAAATCTAGTAGTTGTTATTCTGTAAATGATCATTTTGTGTAATTTAGTGGTTTAAACCTTTTCTCATTATTACATAGCTATTATCAGAGCACTTTTGGGTTCAGCGTAGGGTCAGTTTGCTGTGATTTAGACAAATTACTGTAAAAAAAAGCTTTTTTTTGTGTATGGGTAGGATACATATTGGCTAGGCTGTAATATTTCAGTGAAAACATTTGTTTAGTTATAGTATCAGACCAATTCCAGCGTTATGGATGTGACATTTGCAGTAAAAACTCAAAACATAAATTCACATAGAGAGTATATGTTATCAATATATTAAAACATCTGTTTATATTTTCCAAAAACTACTAACCACAAAGTTATGGGATCAGAAAAATATCTATCTGTATACATTTTTTAATTTTTAAATGAGGGAAATAAACATACGTTATGGATGTGACCCAAAAAGTCTGCCAGTTTACAGAATACAACATACGTTGTAGAAATTTTGTGAATTAAACTGCTCAACCCAAAATAGATAATGCTATCAAAAGGAGAGTTGGCTCTCTGTAGAAAAAGTGATTGTTTTTTTTTTTATTTTACATTTTTGCATTTTTGAGGGAAAAGCTTTGTTATGGATGTGACACCTCTCCATTATGGATGTAACAGATGTGAAATTGGCACTTGTGTGACTTTGGTAAATCAAATATAATTGTTTGAAAACACTGACAGAGACATTTGAGTATTTTTTAAGTACTTTAAAACTTAGAAAGGGTTTTGCTATTTTGGTGAAAATGTCATTTTTTTCACATTAAGGTTGACATTTGAATGGAATGCTTATCAGTTATTTTTATAGCAAAAATTATTTTTCTTTCTTTCTTTCTTTCTTTCTTTCTTTCTTTCTTTCTTTCTTTCTTTCTTTCTTTCTGTCTTTCTTTCTTTTTTTTACTTTTTTGTAATAGTTGCCACGTAAAGGTTACAAAGCATCAGTATTGTTTAAAACTAGAAATGCATTTTCTGTGTGACGTTCTGTAAAATATTTATACATAAAATATAACAATTTCCATAAATATTAGCATATATGTATGTATTTTTAAAGTGTACATGCATGTGTGTGCCATTCATATATACACAATAAATATACACAGTAGATGTTAATACAAACCTTTATCGGTGATTCACGATTAATTCTTAAGTAGCACTGTACTTTGCAAAATAGATGATTCCACTGTGTATTGTAATGCAAAAAAATCAATTACAGCTAAATGCCCTTGCGGACTAGTGATTTTTTTTTGTACGGTAGGCTATGTTAAGCAACACTACATACGATACGCTTTCTGTTTTAAAATTATAAATTATTATGCAAATTTGATCATACAAATGTATATAAATTAACCAGTGATTCATCAGAACCTTAAATAGTGACATTTACCAGTGAAATTGTGTTAGAGTACAGTTGAATGGGTTTAGTTTCTTTTTTTTTCCAAATTTGAACATTTAAAAATTTGTCAATGACTGCCGCTCCTGATAAGAGCTGCTCAGACCCATTATGGGGTCCGTGTGCTTTTATGCTCTACATAAGTGGCCCTCATGGGGGTCATCAGTCAACAGGCTCTCCGCACTCCACAGAGAGAAGTGCGTGTGCGGCGCATTGGTAAAAGCCGTGGAAAATGAAATGTAAGGCTCTCCGTGATGGTGTAACCTTTCTGACTGATTTCATCATGCAGCTCAGGTTGTAGTTCTTACACAACGTGATTGTAAAGCTGTTTTAAACCCTCGCTCTCTGCAAACGTCACTCAGAGAGTTTACAGCTGGGGGCGGGGGGTTTGGAAAAGATTGGATTTTTATCAGCTTGTGCGATTATATTTTTCCTCTGAGGCTGAGTGGAAATGCTTTTGTGGTGTTTGGCTTAGTTGTTAATGGGAGATGTGAAGGTGCTGTTTAGATACTGCAAAATGTGTGGGGCCTCTGTTCGAAGGAGATCTGAATCAAACTACATATTTTTGTAGAAATTAGTTGTTGTAGTTGTTTTTTTTTTTGTATAAAAAGATAATTTTTGGAAGTAAAACAAGCGTTTTCTGTTTATTTACGGTTGTGAAATGATTTATGGGATGTTGATCTCTGCTCTGCTGACTTTTGATGTTGAAAATTCAACTCTACAGTTTAACAAATTGACCATTATTAATGTTTTGGTAGTTTGAAATAATATAATGTATAAGAAATAAAATATAAAAAAATAAGTATTTAAAATAACAGAAAACGTACATGTATACCGTAAGATACAACAACAACCCAGGCAATATATTACTTTAAACTGTTAAAAGAGTCAAAAGTCAATTTTTCCAACTTTTCAGGGTTAAAAATACTTTGGAGAAAGAGCAAGGTCCATTAATGTAATGCATAAATAATAAAAAATAAACAGAATAATCACAAAATATGGAATACTGCAAACAACAAAACAACAACAAAAATAATAACAACAATTATCATATTACATTTCACTTTGTCCAGTTATTGGTTTATTTGGGTTTCTCCCACCTTGCCACACTTTACCCTCTCATATTGCAGACCTGTTAGCCTTCTTAACCCTTCTGGCTAGGCGGTTAATTGTTCTGAACTGGAAGAGACCTTACCCTCCTTCTCAAACTTGTTGGATAAGAAATGTTGTCTGTTTTATGAAATTAAAGACAGTTAGGTACTCTCTTTACCGACTAAACTCTATTTTCATTTAACGTTTGGAACCCCTTCGCATACATGTCCAAACTCTTCAGCTTGACCCTGTTCTTTCCGATTGAGTCCCCACTACCAACCCCCTACTCCCAGCTTGGCGTGGATACTAGTTCTGGTCAGCACATTGTTGTAGATCTGTATTTTCTGCATGTTAGACTGCACTAGTGTTTTTATTTTGTTCAAAATACTCTTCAGTGTATTTGCTTATTGTTACATGTCTTTGTTGTCCTTTATTAAAACAACAATTATTTTTATTATTATTGTATGTTCATTTATT